TGGGAAAATGGGTGTTGTTTTGGGTTTGATGGCGTGCGCACCTTATTTAGACGTCATCATACCTTTCAACTATATTCAAGAGTAAAGAAAACAGTGCGCATGCGTTGTTATGGCGACAGCTGCTGTTTGATAATAATTTTAGAGTTTTTTTTTTACTTTGTTTTGCTGCATTTATAATAATGATTATCTTAGCCTGATTTTTTATAGACTTTTACAACTCTTTATTTATGATTGTAGTGAAGTTGTTCTAGTCAAAGGTATAGTGACATGAAAAAAATGGAACAACGCACATTTTCCCAAAGGGTATTATTTTTTTTTGTTTTCCAAAAAATAACTTATAAGAAATTGAAACATTTCTGTTTTAAGGAACTAACTTATAGAAAACTATAAAGTTTTTTTTTATTTTGATTTAATTTTTAAGTTTGATTTTGATTCAACTTTTGGCTTAATTGTAATTCCTTTTTTGGCATTTTGGCTTTGATTTTTTTTTAAATTTTAAATGAATTACCGAAAGCTGTTTTTACACTTTTATTAGTTCTTCTAATTAACTAATCTGTATTAGCAGTGCAGCATTTCTATTTCATATGCAGATGAACTGTTTTATTGATGATTTAAATCCCAAAGTTTTCTAAATACTAGCCTTAAGTGTTTTATTTTCTCATTTTTCACAATTAAATATTGATTTTTTTCGGCTTTGTATGTTTCAAAACTAATGACTTCACTTGATCCACCAATCAGAGATGGATTGAGACCTCTCATTCCACTTCTATGATTAATAAGACGTCTCAATGAGGGCTATCAGAGGTGTATTGAAAGCTCTCATTCCACTTCTATGATTAATAAGACCACTCAATGAGGGCTATCAGAGGTGTATTGAAAGCTCTCATTCGTTGTTGACATTAGATGAACGAAACACACTCTGAGATTGTTTTAAAATTCGAAAAAATGTTTGTAGTAATAGAAGAGACTTCTATCTTCAAATTCCACACATTTTTAACGTGAAATAAACATAATACTGAATAGCAGCACTTGAAAAATGACAAATTCGAATTTGCGCAAAGTAGCCCCGAATGACGGTATTGTAATAATTTTCCTTTTTTGTTGACAGTTGGTGCTCGATCCGATCTTCAGGATCAAAGGGAAGTATCATATGAGATGGGCTATGAATTTGCTAGAAGTTTAAATCTCGAGTTTTTTGAATGCAGTGCCAAAACTGGTGAAAATGTAAAACAAGTAAGGTGTTATAACATGTTTGACCGTTGCGTTCCAGACAAAAGTCTTTATTTATAAGTAGAAAATTACACTAGTTTAGTTTTCTGTACTCTCGGCAAATGTAACTTATAAGCATTTATAGTTTTATTTATAAGTATAAAATATTTAGCATGAAATTGTTTATAATCTTGTTAGAAGAGGGGTAGACAAACAAATGCTAATTATAATAACATTAGCAATTATAAAGAAATTAACCAAACAAACATGAAAATCCTTCGATTATGAAAAAAAAACTTTAAAAATACACAATGGGGAAAATAAAAATAAAAGCCAATTTGGCACACTTATTTTGCATGCGTTATTTCTTTAAAATTTAACAATACCGTTTCATTATAACTCAAGCTTCTTTTTTCTTAGCCCAGTTGACATCAATGTCGTTTTATTCATTAAAGATACATTTTAAGTACTTAAATAAACTGCAGACCAGAATTACGATGTAATGCGTGTTCAACGTATTGCATTCAATTTGTTGCACATTTTTGCAAAGACTGTTGCGTAGTTAGTTCAGTCAGAATAACTAAGAATTCAAATTTCAAGAAAGTACCTAAAATTCTAGATTGGCATTTTTTGTGTAAGAAAAAGTAACCAAAACTAAGTGTTTTGGTAAGTAGCTTATATTTAATTTTGATAGCTTTACTTCATTGCCACCTAAGTGTTAGTTTCTACCCAGAAAAATGTCGAAACAATCAAGACAGTACAAGATCTTAGAAGAAATAATATTAAATTATGAGAATAATTATAAGAATTATAGTTCTTATATATTCTTATGAGAATAATAATAATTATTATTATGAGAATAATTATAAGAATTATAGGAATAATAATAATTAGAAGAAATATATATGCTTGCGGATAGTGTTCAATGCCCTGTATATGTAAAAAAACATCCGTCCCTCTAAATAGTTTTTGTACTACGGAATCAAATGTCGGAAAGCTTTTTTAATAATTAATGTTAGATTTAAAATTGTTTCGTAAAACCCCAAGTATCTACGAACCACTGTTAAAAAAAACTTTTAAAAAAAATTTTTTAACTTGAAGGTGAACTATGAGTTGAATAATTAGAAAAATATTTGTCTTAATAATCTTTTTCAACAATTTTTTTTTCCTTCTAAATATCGGTTTATTACAGATTTTTGAACACATGGCTTTCAGAATCCTACAAAAGGAAGGATTGATACCACCTGATGAAAGGAATATCTCTCGGTTTGAAATAGAAGGAAAATTTCTCGAATCGAAAGGAACCAATGAGAGTCTCCCTACTTCCGTTACAGAAGAAGAAAGACTTAATGGATCTGTTACTGTAACAGAAATCATTAATCATAAGCAAAGAGATGCAAGTTTTCCAGAAGATGGAAACTCACAGATTGGGAGTGAAGGAATGACAAAGGAAAAAGATTGCACTCTGTCTTCTAAATCAGGCAACAAAATAAAGCCGTCGGTCATAAATGAAAATTGTGAATCTTCAGATGATAAAAATGACGCAGTACTAGAAAAAGTAGAGAAATCAATCCTTTCTGAAGAGATGCTATTTGAAGGAAAGTGTCCAGCGTGGTTAGCTTGAACAAAAGCTCATAAATTTATTCATTTTTTTAATCTCAAGATATTTTATATCAATCTGTTCTGTTCTTCATCACCCAACTATAGCCAAGCACCTAGCCCAATTTTTAAGGCTATATTTTTTATCTCCCATGGTACAGGAATGTCACTTTGATCCTGGTCAGACGATATGGATAGCACACCCCACGCAACAAAAGGTCTTGTAGTCACGACAGATTTACAAATCAATCGTGTTAGTTTCGAAAAATGTCAATTATTCATCTTCTGAAGCATTTATTAGAGCTAACCAAACGGTATGATCCCTCAGAGGATAAGAATGAAGTTATATTACAAAAAAGTAAAGTAACCAATACTTTCATAAGAGCTACCAGAGGTGCTCCTGGAAGAAAAGCATCCAGCTTGAATAAAAATTGTTAAACATGCCAATTTGCTTTTCAACACATTTCTGTTGTTCTGTCTTAGGATATTTTTTTTTACCATTATGTTCATATTAGATGTACCATGCACAGAAAAAGTAAACACCGTAAATAACTTTTGATCTGATAATAAAATTTTTCCGCACTAGAACTTAATCTTAATGATCCGAAGGTCTAAGCTTAAACATGCTATTAAATTACTGAGGACGATACTTTAACTTACGAAATCAGACACCAAGATGTATTTCCTCTGAATAAATATCCATTTTTTGATGGATTCCCCAAAATATGTGAGGATAGTCACAATCTGGAAAATGTGATCCCAATAGTAAGCCAGGAGAGTGATTAGTATTTTCTCCCCTTTAAGTTAATTTTTCTTTATGCGTATTTTGTTTAATTTGAACATTTCTTAAGCGAACTGAAGGATTTCTGCATACAATTATGAAATTCTCTTTTTCAAAGATATTTTAAAATGCAAAAAATATTTTTCATAACTATTTATTATTTTATTTAATAATTGTCAAAAAAGATATAAATTCAGAGGCATACAAGTTTTTATATCATTTTAAAGTATATATTTTCACAAGAAATCAAATTTTAAATTTACGACTTTTTAAAAGATGAATAACTCTGAAAGTATTCTACCGATTTCTTTCAAATTTTGCATTTTGTAAAACAGTGTAAAAACTTGTATACCTTAGGATTGAAAAAATTTTCGACTATTATTAAATAAGAGGATAAAAATAATAAATAATTGTTAAAAATGATTTTTTATATTTAGTTATTTTTTTCATAAATGAATTTTATAATTGCGTAAAAATTATTTTCGACTTGGTTAAAAGCTTCTCGAGATATAACGTCCTACACAAAAAGTTGAACTTAACTTATAGCATTGCAAAATTTTGACTGCTATCAAGTTTAAACTGTTGGTTCCTTAATTTCTGGATTGCGACTACCACTTATATTTTTACAATCAAAACTCCTGATCTGTCGAAAGGTATTGCTTAATCTGCAAAATTGCATTTTTACGTCTGATTTCGTAATTTAAGATTTCGTCAGCACTAAGGAATTAGCATATATATGGTAAGGCCTTTAAACCATGAAGGTTATTCTTTGTACGTGAAAATCCGTTTATTAGATCAAAAGTTATTCAAGTTGTTCACTTTTTCTCCTCACTCCTCATTTGCCATAAATTAGTATACAAATACCTTCTGTTCACTTCATTATATTTTATTGTTAAATATGAAATAAAAATTAGATTTTTTTAAAAATTTGATTTGTTTGCTTTTTTTCGTTGGTAAAATGTTTTATACATCCATTAAAGGTTACTTTTGTTTTTCATGAATGAATTTTCTAATTTCTTTTAGTATATATAAAAAAATTAAATACAAATGAATGTTAAATAATGCATCATTAAGAGTGTGAAGATGAATACGTAAGTTAGTAATCTCAAAACATAAATACCTAGAGAAAAAGAATTACCAGACTATAATATCATATCAAAATAAGGAAACAAAGAAATCTGCAATAATAATGAACACTTGTAAATCTTGACATTCTTAAGACTTCTTCTGTTTTAAGCTTAAAATTTAGTTGAATATTGCTTTCTCCTAAAATTGACTTAAAAAAATATTAGTACTGTTTATACATTTTTAAAAAAAAATTACTTTAATGAATTATTTTTGTATTGTCATAGCTCTCAACAACGTATTATATGTAGGTAAAAGATTAAAATAATTTGGAATTTTTCCGAATATAGTAAATGTGGTGAATAATTTATAACGGAGAATAATAAATAATTTATTATTTTATTTTATAATGCCCTCTGGTTTGTGAAATCAAACACTTATTGTCATTTCTGAAAAGGAATTAATTTTATATACTAAGATAAAACTTTTTTCATCTATCAAACTTCGGATCAGAGGATATTGAAATTAAAACTACTTGGTCAGTCATCGAAATTTAAAGAAAGCTGTGACTGAGTCGTATTTTGAGAAGGAAGGTCAGAAATATTTTACATAAGTTTTCAAAAAATTCTTCCGTTATCAGTCTAGTTGTATAGTATACTAGAACACAAAATTTACACTAGGTTCTTTTTTTACAACTGCTTAAATGACTAATTATTTTCCATAAAATTTTTTAATAAGATTTAGAGTCTGGGGTTTGTTGGAGCGTGGATGGGTGAGATAAACACATGTGTAGTAAAGGGTGGACTTGAAAATTAAAATTTTCAGCTGGTAGTCAGTAGACACTAATGACCTAGTAGCCACTTTTTTTCTTCTCAAACCCATGAGTTGGTCACCGATATCGATGAGTTGGTCACCGATATTATATTTTCTTTCCTCTTATAATTTAATTTTATGATTTTGCCGTGGAGCACAAATTTAGAAGCAAAAAGTAAAATTAATACCGAAAAGACACACATTCGTTTCAGAAGATCAAAAAAATAATCGCCATACTAATATTGGCGCCAATGATTGTTTATAGCTACCAAATAATTTGTGCACTTTGAGAAAAAGCTTCAAATTTTTAGCATTTATCATTTTTAGCATCAGAATATTCGGACACTTGATATACCTGGGGAAAAAAAAGATGTAAAAAGTACACGAGTAGACTTAAATATTATTATTTAGATAAATGAGCTACTTTTTCCGATGTATTCTGATATGCTGATTCGAATGAAACCAACAATATGTCAATAGAACTAATAGATCAGAAATTGTTGAAGTTAAAGTATAAAAAGTTCAATTTTGTATTTACACTTATTTATACTATTTTGCTAATTATTTATGCTGTTATATATTAATTTATAGTATTTCACTTAATATACTAAGTAGTACTCGCCTTAGAAACTGTCTGAATTTAATCTTTAGACGTAGAGGGGACACCAGGGGCCGTTTTATATGTTTTTTTTCTGAAGCTCTAATAACAAACAAAACGATATATTCATATTTTGTAATTGTAGTAAACCGTCTAAAAGTTACTAAAAAAAGTCTGATGTCTGATATTTATACTAACAAATAAATGTAGTTAGAATTTTCTTTTGTATTCATATTAAAAAACGTATCAAAAATTTATTTTGCAAATTAAAGAAATTTAATTAATGAATAATTGTTTATGTCAGAATTTAATAATTGCAAATAATTACAATTCAAATTTGAACAATTATTGTTTGGAACTGAGCCGTGTTCGAAAGACTTTACCATTAATATAAAAAAGACACCAGTGTTCGATGCTATAATTATTTACCATAAATTATTAAATTGCTAAATGTAATATTTTTCATTAATTTACCTAAATTAATACAATATGGTGAAAAAAGTATGAAAAGTATGTTTAATAACAATTTTGCATCAGTGTTAACAAGCGTTTCGATTTGGTGAGTCAGAAAAAAAATTAATTAAATATTCATTCGCATGTATTAAAATTTATTTTTTCTATAAAAAAATTTTTTCGTCATCAATAGATGTCACTGTATTATCAAAGATATAAAATTTAATTTCTGACTCAAAAATTTTTTTATTAAAAGAATATTTAATGTTATTTTTCAGTATATTTCGGAGAAAGATTTTTTCAAAAATATCGTAAGGTATTTCCATTAATTTAATTAACATTCTATTTAATATTAAAAAATAATTGTAACAGTTTTGCTAAAGCTCATAGTTTAAAACTCGCCAAGGTTTAAAATAACAATATTTTTTGTATCAACGTGCTGCCCTCTAGTGCTATAAAGTGAAATTATTTTGTACAACTCTTTTGTTTTTATTACAACTTGACGTGTAGTATTATTTTCAGTATTAATTTTTCTTTTATCTTTAAACTACTTGATGAAATATCTTTCAAAAAAGAATAAAATGATATGTTTGGTGACTAAATTGGACAGTTGGTGTGTTTTTTAAAATAAAGTTTTGTATTAACTGTATTTTGAAATAAGTTCCCACAGTTTTATTTAGCGAACTAATTTATTCTTTTTATGCCACTCGTCTTGATTTATGCAGCAGCTTACATTTTATGCAAAACTATGTAATACTAGTGTGTTCATAGATTTGAATTATTTATAGTGTAATATTTGCATTTTTTAAACTGTTTTAATTTTTCTAATTTACTTAAAAGCAACTTTATGTTTGTAAAATTGTTATAATGATAAAATAAAAAATCAATGTCTTTTATTCTTTAAAAAAATATATCTGACTAAATAGACTTAAAAGTTTTTTTTTCCTATTTTAAATGTAAAAAATCTTTGTCCTTAAACTAGAGATAATAGAAGTGAAAGTTTTTTCCATATACCACTCACACATGTAAAATTAATTTTTAAATATCAGAAATACTTATGGATAACTTAATGGATAGATATGTAATTGTATTAGGCTAGCTGATCGCACATTGTCTTATTATTTTTATTTAATATTGTAATAAGAAGCTATGATTATTAATACTGTTAATCTTGATTAAAAAAATAAGTATGAAATACGCGCAGTTTCATCGAAATGAAATTAAAAAAGTATTTAGTAGTTAAATAGTGAAAAAATTAATATTTTATTTTTTATTTTTCATTTTTAACTATATATAATAAGTTTCTAACAATAATTTTTTTTGACGAACTCTATTCTAAAAACATATTTGTTAAAATATACGCTTAGTAAAAATTAACATTATCAGTTTTATTAAATATTTACTATTCATTAATAAGTTGCGCTGCCATCCCCAAAATTTCTGTATTATATTTTTATACATATATATTTACATACCTATACCATTTTTCTTATTATTGAAAATTTATACATCTGAGTATAATGATGAATTATATATTATTTTTAATTTCAATAAAAGAAAAAAATCTAAAAATTTGATTCTTAAAAAAAAAAAGACTGTGTCCAACTGTATTGACTGGGCTGCCAACCAATCTCTATTCACAGGCGCTATCCCATTACTGCATGATGCGGGAGCTTTTGCCTGCTCCGTTTCCGGCCTGGGCCGGTTCGCTCCGCCTTAGACGACCTGGTAACTCCGGACTCCTCCGGTTCCACCATATCGACATCGTGCTTAATGCGGACGCCTGATCAACATAGACGAACGGAGGACAGAACTCCCAACCTCAAGCCATCCTACAGCCTAGACCTCCAAGCAGCTGGATTACAAGACCACGCCACTGGTCCCGGTCGACAGGTAGAAAACACCTGAGCTTTATAAGGTTGTGTTTCTGAATTTCTCTCTAGAACATCGCCATCTATTGTCATTTATTGTACTGAATGTTTCGTTTGTTCTTATTAAATAAATAAAATANTATATATATGTGAAAAAAAATTTTGTTTATTAAGCCAATCTTATGTAAAAAGGATAATTTAATTACAAACATAGTTACATAAAGATCTTTTATGTTCGATTCTTAGATCAATAATGAGACAATTTAATCAACTAAATTGGTGAAACAATTTTATGTTTCTGGAAAATTATC